CAGGAGGTTAAACTAAGGGGGTCAAAGCAGAGGATTCCGAAGGGAAATTTTACTGAACCAAGAACTGAACCCCAAGAACTAGAGGATGGTATTAAGTTATTCTCAGACCTTATCTGACCATTGGCCAGTTGTTTATTAGAGTGATACACACAAAAGTCTCAAATTGATTATTATTCTGGACTTTCACCCAGAATGAATCCATTAGCACAACATACAAGGTAGAGTCAGAAAAATTTTAGAGGGAGTAAATTGTTCTCTTCCTGTTATACCGCAGAGTTTGAGAACATCACCAAGGATGGCTATTTCCATTGCTTTATAACACAGCAGGCACATGGTGCTAGTTTGCTACAAATAGGGGTTCTTAAAATTGCATTTGAGACCTCCCATCACAATGCCCTAGATTCTCTCAGTAATTCAGGCATGTTGAACCTAATCTTGGGACATTTCAGGCCCAAAATTAACACTTAGATGGCTCCAGAGGGCATCCCAGACTTTTAAAACCCATTATTAATAGTTATACTTACTGCTTCATAGCACCAATCTTTGAGGATATCCAGGTCTCCAGATATCATGGCCTAAAAAAGGAAGTAATAAAATAAGCAATACAAAGAAGGGATTTTTTTAAAACATCTGTCCTAGAGCAGGTGTCCTATCTGGAAAAGTCACCTTCTTTAAATCCTACAGTATGAATCCTTAAATCGTACCTACGAGTGGCTGAGGGATTTGGGCTTATTTAGTCTACAGAAGAAAAGAGTGAGGGGGGATTTGATAGCAGCCTTCAACTTCCTGAAAGGAGGTTCCAAAGAGGATGGAGAGATGCTGTTCTCAGTAGTGCCGGATGGCAGAACAAGGAGCAATGGGCTCAAGTTACAGTGGAGGAGGTCTAGGTTGGATATTAGGAAAAACTATTTCACTAGGAGGGTGGTGAAGCACTGGAATGGGTTACTTGGGCGGGGGAGAATCTCCATCCCTAGAGGTTTGACAAAGCCGTGGCTGGGATGATTTAGTTGGGGTTGGTTCTGCTTTGGAGACAGGTCTGGACTCGATGACCTCCCGAGGTTTCACTCTTCCAGCCCTAGGATTCTATGCCATAACATTTTACTCCTAAAACATTCCAACATGGAGTGAGCTGAAATTTCAGACATTACAGTGATGAGCAGTACCTATAAATACAGACTACTTGAGATGGCCACAGCTCTTAGGATTATGTAAATAAGATGTGCCAAACTGTGTTAATATCTCCTAGCAATCAAAGTTTTGGGAGATGTATTTTAGCAGGAACACAGAAGCAGGCGCAAACAGCAAGAACAAAATGGTCAATTTTCAACATGGCAAAAGGTCAACAGTGGGACATTCACTTACCTTTCAGTTTAATAATACATTTTCAAATAAGGCAATTTGAAAAAGTATTGCATAATTAACTTGTGGCACCTACTTCTATAGCTATAAAGAGAAAACTGGACATGTATATGGATAACATCCAGAGTTCCATTAGGCAGGAGAACTTTCAATGTAATAAACAAAATAAAAATCCTCAAGCTTCAAGTCAGAAGTGAACTTACTGCCTGGGGTTAAAAAGGCCCATCCCCATGGGCAGTCTATGGTATGAGTGTTCATCTAAGGGATTCTGCACCTTCCTTGAAGCATTTAGCACTGTTAGAAGCAGGATAACAGACAGTCTAATCTCATGTGACTTTCCTATAGGAGGCTGCCTAACTTATGAGAAAAGATGATTAAAACTGGGTAAGAAGTTGCCTCTCTCAAGTTTCTTGGAGTATAAAGCTTAGCCGGTGGGGTTTGTTTTATTTTAGCTTAGTAACTTACTCTGATCTGCCTGTTACCACTTGCAACCACTTACATCGTACTTTTTATATTTAATAAAATCACTTTTGTTTATTATTAAACCCTGGGTAAATAATTGTTACCTGGGGAGACAACAGTTGCACATCTCTGGCTTTCATTGACAAAGGGGACAACATTTTATAAGCTTGCTCTGTGTAAAACTTTTATACAGAGTAAGACAAATGTATCTGGGGTTTTGATCCCATTGGGTTTGTGCAACTGGATGCTGATAAGCCCCTGTGACTGAGCCTTCCCACAGCTGAGCTGCAGTGTCTGTGTTGCTCTACTGTGGACTGTGACCCCCAACTCTGAGCATTTGCTGGGGGAGACCAGAGGTTCTGGCTCAGCAGAACAGGCTGGTGGATTGACCCAGAGGGGAGGCAGGCAGGCTCAGTGATATGGTCAGTCCATCAGGTGACTGTCTCAAGATCTCCAAAATCCAAACTCGCCACACCTGGGACTAACACAGCTACAACAACACTGCATACAATATTGCTGCCCATTCACCTAACTGCCTTAGATCCCTCTTGAGCTCCTAACTGATGTCACTCAGAGGGAGAGGCAGCTTGTTTTCCAATCTGGTCAGGGCCTAAAAGGGTGGAATGATTCTCCTGACCAAAGATCCATCACTTTTTGCCCCAGCTCATTTCTTCCAGTTAGTTAACCTGGGCTAGAAACCTGAGACTGGGGAGCAAAAAGTCAGCCACCCAGCTCTGATTTTTATCTTTAGCAAAATCAGAACAGTCTGAGTTGGAAGCCTTCTGTGAAACAGACAACAAGCCTGATACTCTGGGTTTTCTCTTGTAGAGGCGCCTGCTAGTCCCTGCACCCATGCTGATTTTTCACACTTGCTGAAATAAGTGCATCATGTCCCTGCCCCTCTAACTCACCTCCAGGACATTAGGAATTATGTCACTCTCACATTGCTTTAGAAACCGATCCTTGTCAAAAGCTGGGTCCACTTTGAGGATCTCTGTCAAAACCTCTGACATTTCTGTCTTCGAGAACAGCCCACCTGACGAGGCAATTCAATTCAATGAGCTTTTGTTGGCACAAGCGTTGCCAAAGGAGAAGAGAGACGGCCTTCACATATTTCTCAGATACGTCAGTTCTGCCAGGACAGAGCTAAATACTGTTTGGAGTTTTATCCCCAATTGTCATTACTGCTCATTCCTGATCCAAGGAGTGGCTGCTACCTAATGGGCCACAAGACACATGTTACAAACAAGCAAATATCAGGAAACCCCAAATTCCTACCCAAAGGCTAGTCAGGCAGCAGCACTGACACGGCCAATTGTCAATCCCGAGTCTCAGCTACATGTCACAGAAACCTCTAGAGCCCTTCTTCACAACAATACCTATTAAATCGGTGACTTTGTCTGTGACAGCTCTGGAGGCCCGAATCAAGGCGTTATCGCTTTCATCATATTTCATCTTCATTTCAAAGAACCCTGAAAGAAGGGGAGAGATCAACAGCACTGTCGTACCATTTCACTCTTCTGTGCAGCTTAAACTGGAATTAGCATGTTCAAGTGAAAGACCAGCAATGCCTGACTAGAGGGTTTGAATGTTGCCTATGAAACCCTTTCCAAGGTGGGTCCTATGATTTAATCCATTTCAATACTTCAGAGGCAAAAGGGGCAGGAGATCAGTCATTTCTCCACAATTAAGGATAATTTTTAAATGGTTAATCTCTGCCACAACTTTTCCAGATTGGTTTCTCCTCTGCATGGACGTCCTACAGCTACCCTTGCTGGCATTCTTCTGGCCTAGAACAGACAACTCAACAAGTAGTGCTCCTCAAACATCCCAGGAGGCAACAACACTGCCATGAGGCTTTACATCCCTCCCCACAGCACACACCTTGCTCCCAGAAAGCAAGTGCCCTGGAATGCAATCCAAAGCTAGGTCCGTGGCAGTGCAGGGTACTAGCAATAGGCCACCCCCTTTCAGCAGTTCCATGATCCAAGAGTCCAATATTCTTTCTGACAGCAGCCAGTACCAGAAGAAGCCGCATTAAGTAGTTAAGGGAACACCCGTCCACAGTGCAAGTTTCCTCCCAAAGCAGTGGTGGGTTTATGCACTGAATATTACTCCTTATAAAATATAGTTTTACTATCTCTGGATATTTCCACATACACCAAACCTTGTATACAAAGTGAGCAACAATTAGTTCTGCTCTTTGGGGTCTTGGTACAACCCCTCCTGCAATCTGTGTGCAGTTCTGGGTCCCACCATTCATGAAGGGCACAGAAAAACTAGAGAAAAGGACAACAACCCTGCACCTTGGGGCGAGTTGGACAAGATGCCCCTTGCAGTCACTTCTGAATCTACAATTCTAAAGGAGTAATTCATTTCCAAACTCTGCCCAATCTGGGCAACATGAGGCAAGTGTAAAGGAGCTCAATGTATTGTCTGTCAGAGATTATTCTGGTGCACCTCAGGGCAATCTCTGAATACTTTTAAGGGAACCCTATCTGACGAGAGGGTGAGACAAGGAGCAAGTGGGCAAAAAGATAAGGAAATATTCAGGCTAAATTGCAGGAAAAATAATTCTTCAGAGCAATGGAGGTTGAAGGATTTTGTGACAATCTGGAGAACCCAGGAGTAGGCCGAACCCCAAGCAGCCTTTTTGGTCTGGTTATTTCCAATTCATTCAAATACTGTTTTCAACACACTCTCTTACTCTTTTAGTCACGCTGCTTATCATGTCTTGCCCAATAAACGTGAGATGCAGCCCAGACAGCTAATGGTACTGGTGGGAAACCGCAATTCTAAACGGTCTGTAAAAAGGAGGTGAAACGCCCACAATCCCACAGATGGACCCAATCCAAAGAAGCTGGCGTGCTGCAGGCAAGACGCTGGGGCATATATTTGGAGCCAGAAAGAAGCATAGAGTCTGCCCGTGCTCTGATTCCATGAGTCACAGGCTTGTACATAGTAAGGATGTAATAGTGTAGTCTATTAGCTTATCGGTTAATGCTATAGACTGCACACATCCCCCCCCATGCCAGTAAATTTTTTAGAGGCTGGCCAGCAGCCTAAGTCCTGGCTTGCTCCAAGTCCAGGACCTATCCCTGCTGTGGCTCTGTATTAGGAGCCAGGAAGGTAGGCAGCCCAGCTCAGTTCCGGCTAGCGTGGAGTCTGGGAGCTCAGGCCTGCCCCTCTCCCCCCGGACAGGGGCTGCTGCCATCCCATGCTGTGCAACTAGTCTCAACAGTCCGTAAGGGGAACTGTTTTTTAAAATGGCTCCCTTTGTGGATCAGCTCCCGCCTGGCACCCCATGCTGCTGCCTCTGATACAGTGGGGATGGAGCACACTTGCTGCCAGTCTCGCCCCGGGGACTATAGAATAGTCAACTAACCGATAAAAATTCATGAGGTTACTCGACTATTCAAATAACTGATATTTAACATCCCTAGTACATAGTGCTCTGGCCTCTCCTCACTGCCAGGTGGCGTGTGACTAGAAGGCAGTGCTCGGAGTTCAGTTCTCTGATGGCTGTCCGACATCCATCCACAAGAGGGAAACCTGCAGAGGGGAATTCAGATTTCAAGAACAGGGAATGAGGAAAAATCTCTTTCTGCTGAGGATTGTGGGGGGGTGTCCCAACACAGATGGCGCAGCCTGGAATAACTCGAGTCAGCAGCTACGCCTACCTTCCATCTCACACTACCACACAGTAACAGCAGTGACAGAAATGGCCATTGTCTGCATTATGTTGAGACTAGTTGCACCGGTGGCATCAGAACCCAGATGGTAAGAGAGCAGAGGTAACGGGAAAGGAAGCTGGCAACACTTACTATTGAAGACCACATTGTTGTCCTTGAAATCTTTCCACTGCTGATACCATTTGGAATCTTTGTGCACCACCACACCCATGGCCTCCCTAGGGAACGGCAAAAGACAAACTGAATCGACAGCTGAGCCCTTCACAAGGCTGAAGACAAGAACAAAGATACGGATGGCTATTCACTGAGCAGCACCCTGAGCAGACTGCAGCTGAGGCCTGGAACACACAATGCATGAGTCTGAGCAATGGACAGAGTGGAAAGTGGTTGCGAGGAAAAATCAGGAGGTCAAGTTTGGTCCCATTAAGATCATGCTGACAATGAGACATCCAGGACATCAGAGAGACTTGCTCAAATGTCTGAGGTGAGAAAGACAAAAATACTGGAATACATGAAACAAAATTTCAAGCCAGATCTTGTTATTCTTTGTCAATGGCCAATAACGCAAATGTCTGATGCATTTTCTTCCAACTTTGCAGCAATACTGTATTTTGCCTTCAGAAGAAACTTGCCAATCTTCAGGTCACACCAAAGAAATAACAGGACAAATAGGACTGGCTGCTATCTTGATGATGAGGGAGGAGCTACCTACAGTAACTGCATCATCGCTCTCCCGACAGAAATGGAATGCCCTACTTCTTCAACCCAACACTCAGAGCAGATGACTACCATAAACGACCCCACAAGCCTGTAGCTCCAGACTCCACCTCTTAGCCTGTAGCCCAAGTCAGAAAAGATCCGTCACATAACATTCGGCAGATTGCATATGGCAGCACTCTCTCTTTATTCAATACCTACTCGTTAGCTTCAAATACTCTCTCTCTGACATTCTCTCCAGCAAACTCCATTCTTTTCCTGAGTCGCTCGGGGCGTCTGTAGGGACCCGTCTGCCCTAGAACACTTTCATCTATTTCCTTCTTCACAGTTTCTACTCCCTGAAAGGAAAAACATTCCTGTTAGAGTGGAACTTGTTGCAGAAATCTATCACCTCAGTAGGAAAGAAGGTGGAGTCTAAGGGCCACATTCTGTGGAGATGCACATGCTTACAAGGTCAAATGTAGCCCTGTATTTGGAAAGTAAACAGCAGACACAGAATAAAACAGCTGCCTTGATCAGATTTAGAATAAAACAGTGGAAAGAAATCTGGGGAGACAATCAAACTGACAGACACTTGGTAAAGAAGTGTCCACAGAAAGGAGAAATGGAAACTCTGGTAACTCAGGTGAGAAGCCCTATTGACTTGCCCTATCTTTAAGGAAGAATTAGTCCCTAAGTCCTAAATGCTGATTCCAGTTAGGGAGAAAGGAGCTACTAGACCAAGAAAATGAAGGAAGGACTAAAGGGACAATGTCTCAGAGGGGGAGCCGTGTCAGTCTATAACTTTAAAAACAACAAGCAATCCTGTGGCACCTTAGAGACTAACAAATATAGAGAGAGTATCAGGAGTTTTCATGGGCAAACCCACTTCCTCAGATGAGATTAGAAGGGGGTTTTGCCTACAAAAGCTCATGACACTCTCTTTATATTTTTATTAGTCTCTACAGTGCCACAGGACTGCTCGTTTTTGAAGAGACAAATGTATATAATATTCAGGACAGGGAGAGGCAGCCAAAATGATAGGAGAACATTTTTCAAGGTCAACCAAATCCAGTTCTCAGTCCCAGACCCTCGCAAGAGGAAAAGCTGTGGGTCACCGGAAACATGCACCTGAAAGCCAAAAACAGAGGCAGCCAAAATTATTCAATACAAAACAGCTTCTGGGACTGAAGGCAAGTCCTGCTGCTGGACCAGAAGGGGTGTGTGGAGAAGTCATACTAGTGGAGCTAAGCCCAAGGAAGAAATGGTGGACAGGAAGGGCCTTCCTGGACTGTGACACAAGTAATCTTTGGACAGCCTCTGTTATGATGATTAATCTGTTATAATATTAGAGCTTAAAATGTATCCCATTATAAGCTGAAACATAAAACACTAGGCAAGTTCGTAAAATGTCACAATTACATAACTTTTTGCCTGGTTGAAAACTAACCATAAAATGATTAAGTTGTTTTAGATAATAAATGTTATAAAAAATAAGTCCAACACAAGAATTAAATCAGACCCAAAAAAAGGGTGTGCTACTATGGTCCTCCTGCAGACGGGGGGAGCAGCCTCTGTCCGTGAGCAGCAGCATGGGGAGGCAGATCCAGTGCTCGTGGGTAGCTAGCTTAAAAGCTAGTTCCCCATGAGCACTGGCTCCCATCTCCCCCACTCCCTTGCTGCCTCTGATATAGAGGCAGCAAAGGGGGGGGGGGAGGGGAAATGCGTGTAGTTGACAGAATTAACCGATAAGCCTAGGCTTATCGGTTAATTGTGTAGTCATCTACACATTGACATCCCTAGTGATAAGCAATGTTCCCGCTAAGTTTTCCATCCATATGTGAAATAAATGTTATGTGCACATCACATGTGAGGATGTGTCCCACCAATAAAAACACAGGCTGCCGGCTTTGGAGGCTCTGCTAAACAGTTGGATGGCATCTGAATCTCTCCAGGGTGGCTGACAAAGGGAACACTGGCAGTAAGTCAAATTCCCATGACATTTTATAAAACAGGCCCTGATTTTATAAGTACTTAAGCCAGGTGAACAGTGCCAATGAAATTAATGGAACTGCTCCCTTGAGTAAAGTTATACACGTTTACAAAATTGGAGTCATAGATTGCAATCTGAAGTAGGAGCTACACTTTGAAAGGTTACTATTCCATCATGAGTTGTGTGCAGATCTCTCAGCGACGAGAAAAGAGAGATGAGACAGCATGCAATGACCAGAACAATACTTCAGATTCCTCAGGAACAATAGAGCAATAGAGCAGCCAAGCCTGTTTACTCTGAAAGGAAAAGGCAGATCAAAGTAAGGCTGAAAAATGTCTGTTTTGTGCAAGAGACAATTTGCTGTTCTAAAGCAAAAAACTATTCTGCATTTTGAATATAGACAATAAAGCCAAGTCAAAAGAGGCAGCAGCACAGGAGTGGGCAGGGGGACAGGCAGATCCGGTGCTCATGGGTAACCTGCTTAAAGACGGCTCTTCAGGGGCACCAGCTCCCACTTTCTCCCCACCTTGCTGAAGGAAGAGTGAGCTCCTCGGAGGCTTTCATTACTGAGGGGTTCTTCCAACAGTGGAGTCGACAAAAATAACCAATAAGCCCAGGTTTATTGGTTAATCGTACAGTTAACTATACACTGACATCCCTAACGGAAATACTTCCAGTTACAGAGACTCCATTGCTTACATTTATGCTGACACGAGTATTTATATTCCTTCCAGAAACATATGATCTGATATAATATTATTATGAGCAGCACAGCATGAGATTCCATCTCACAGCGGGAAGAGGGAGTACCTAAGCCCACAGGCTCCATTTTGAAGCCAGTGAGGCTGTCTGGCCTACGCTGAAGGAAGAGTGAGCTCCTCGGGGGCCTTCATTACTGAGGGGTTCTTCCCAGAGCCCCTGTAAAAGGTGGGACATAGTATGGACCTTGCTGATCCAGGACAGCAGGTAATTCCCAACACAACAGTTAATCAAGAGATTGCCTTTCTAACAACAGCTCAGTCACTTGATGCAAAGTTTGTTCCGGGCTCTCTGATGCACACCATGCAGTCCTGGTGACTTACTGATAAGTTAAAGAGCTATTTATACCAGCACCTAAGCACCGCCCTGTGTGGGGCAACTGCCCCCTCACTAGTATACAAGGGGTTATACAGCCCTGGGAGACAATTAGGGCCCAGCTAGGTCCTATTAGAAGGGTTCCTGGACAGGAGGAGCTCAGTCTCATTCCTTCTTTGGAGTGAGATGGACCTAGCTGCCTGCTAGCAGCAGGGATGTTAGTGTGTGCCCAGTTACACAATTAACCAATAAGCTCATCTGTTAATGGCTACACGCACACATTGCTGCCTCTGTATCAGACAGTTCCCATGGGGAGCCAGTTTTTAAGCCGGCTCCCCGCACGTGCTGATTCCCATGGAGTTGTCTGCCCCCCACGCTGCCTCTGATAGACAGGCGCAGCAGCAATGCAAGGGGGTGGCTTTTAAGCCAGCTCCTGCCTGCCTCCCCCCTCCCTCCCACGTAAAGGTATAGCCACTGAAAAAAAGCAGTTACACATTTACAAAAACACTCATTAGCATCCCTAACTAGCAGGGGTGCCTTGGACAGGGTAATGCTGGAGGAAGGCAGGGTGAGCTAGGGGAGCTCAGGCCTGAACAGACTCTAGGCTGAGGCCCATCGACAGAGGTTCGGAGGAGATACAAGGGCTGCAGATGAGCAGCCAGGGCAGGAAAAGGCAGCAGGTCCAACCCTAGTTTCCCAACAAGCTCTGGGAAAAGCTAGTTCCCAGACTAACCAGCAGCCTGTAAGCTGGAAGATCTTTGCTCATGGAACTACATTCACTTGAATGTGAAAACAGCAGCACAAGGCTGAAGAGTGCAGCAGAAAGACTTAACATGGCTCCGGCATAGCAGGGCACCAAAGGAGACATGTTATCTGCAAGTGTACCTGAGAGATTGCTTTGAATGCTGCCGTCTTGCCCAGTTTCTCCCCTCCTTTGGTCACTGATTCTGCAGACTGCTTTGCTGTTTTGGCAGCTTCTTCCACACCTTCTTTTATCTTCCGACCAATATCACTTCTACTTACTTCATCCAAACTCTGCAATAATACAGAAGGAAAGCAATGTGAAAAACATGGATCATTCACCTGGATTTGGAAGAGATTCCTCTTTTTGGCCTGTAGAAACGTTCCAAGTCACCACTGGGAACATCCACAAGTTAGTACCATGGTCAGGGTCTGTAGGACCAATACTTGATTTCTCTTAAGCCGTCTCAGGTCACAGGGAGCCTAACATGTTGCAGCAGTAGCAGTAATACGAGATGTGCGCTGTGATCATTAGTGATGAAGAGGTTCAGCACAGAATGACATGTGCTGAACTAGCAATTATTGATATACTGAGGCTGCTGCTTAACGGGAACTTCTCCGTCCCAACAAAGTTGCTACGGTTCGGAAGTTGCCAACATGTCGAACGTGGGGTTATGGGACAGACGTGCTCAGACTCAATGAGCCCAGGGCTGTTGGTACAAGGGCAGGCCAGACCCTGGGCAGTGCAGTTCAGCTCTGAGGGGCCACAGAGTCCTTGCTCCCCATGGAGAACCCCAACCTCCAGGCTCTCTGCCCTGAGCTGCTGCCTTGCCCACAGCTTCCCCTCCCACTCCACAGCCTGTGTTGCCTTACGTGCAGTCGGTGTCCCCAGCCACAGGGCCCTTCACACTGCAGTAAACATACTGACGTGGTTTTTTGCCGTCCTGTAGTTCAAATACCCTTCCCTTGAAATACCCACGTGCTTGTTAATCCTCTAAAGACAGAAGGAAACGGGGTCTAGGCCAGTGCAGTTCTGGCGGAGAGGGCTCGTGCACTACTCATTTTTGATCCACCAGGAAAGAAGTTCCAAATAGTCTTTCTTCCGCTCCTACAAAACACCTTCACATAACCCAAGAATGCCAAGCTTGTGCATGAGTGCCCGCATGCACCATGGGGTGCTACACATATAGCAGGGATGAGCAATCATTTTTGATGGGGGGAGGGGCACTCCAAGTTTTTGGTAAATGGTCATGGGGGTCTAGGATAGGGATGTAAGCGACTAGTTAAGTAGGAACTCGACAAGTTGTTCCCCCCATCAGAGAGAGGCAGCGGGGGTGGGGTGGACACACGAGCCGGTGCTGGGATGGGGGCGGGGGACTTAAAAGCCAGCTTCCCCCAGCACCGTCTCTGCAGGGAGTAGGGGAGGCAGAGGGCAGCAGGGAAACAGCCTCACTCATGCCCGTTCAGCTGCTGCTCCTCTCCCTTTCAAATGTACAAGAGCCGTCCCCATTGGTGTAGGCTCCCGCTGCCTCTCTTCCTTTGAAATGTACAGGAGCCATGGGCTGCTGTACAGTGACTACTTGATTAGCTGATTAATCAAAATGTAACATCCCTAGTCTGGGATGGAGGTTAAGCGCAGCTATGCATGTGTACAGTTTAAGCAGCACATTGTTTCTAGCCAGCTCTTCCACCTGGGAGTTTGTATCTGAGTTGCAAGTGGCCCAGTGAAGAAAAAGACTGAGGTCTTTTCTCTTCTGCAGCTACTAATTGTCAGAACCCCACGTGCAGCCTCTTCTGCCCTGCAGCAAGGAGGGAACAGGAGGTGCTGATACTGCCTGCACATCTGCTGTCACTCTCGTCATACCACAGACTTCTCCAGCAGCTAGCATTGCAGGTCTCTTCAGTGGCCCTGGCCTACAAGGGCGGCAGAACCCTCCTTCAGCTAGAACAGAGCTAAAGAACAAAGCGCAAATCACCAGTAAACCGACTTGGACTTTTGCCAGCTTAGACTGTACCTCTTTGACTGATCCTGTTATTTCTTCCAGCTTCTTTTTAATCACTTCAGAGGTCTTAACTGTTTCTGATTCAATGGTTTTCTGCAATACAAACACAGATCTGATGTTAACAGGAACCAACGCACCAATCAGAACTGTAACTACATGAGGATTTTGCAGCACTGCACACTGGCAGACATAACACTCCTGTGGCACAAAAGAACAGCCCCCGCTCAACTCTGTCCTTCCTAAGATCCAGGTAAGTGTCTAACCACATGAAGTGAAAGGAACAGACATGGGAACCAGTCACATGGAAAAAGAGACGGTTGCATTTATAGATATTCACAATGGGTGCCCATATCAATGCAGTGCAAACCAATAGCTGCCTTAAATATGGGAGAGATAATGAAGGAGGCAAACAGGGTAAGTGGTGTAATGGCTTCAAACTGAAGAGGAGAAAGACCTAACCATATGTCAATCAGTCACAAGTAACCTGAAAGCTCCTGAGGTCTCATATACCCACTAGATTCAGAAGGGAGAGGCAATGGCAGGCCATATGGTTGACAGCATGGTGAAGACTGTCTGCCTAGATACAAGCACCGATTTCTCCTCAACAGCACACACACTCAGACGAGTCAGGAGAGCCCCACGGGTCAGATCGGCAGACGTAAGCTCTTGTTAGGAAAGCAGCTAGTCATCCAAGTAGGGGCATACCAAGCAGCTGAGATGGTGCACTTGTGCTGCCACCACAGCAAAGGCCTTCCTGAAGACAGCTGAGCTGTCTGCCTAGATACAAGCACCGATTTCTCCTCAACAGCACACACACTCAGACGAGTCAGGAGAGCCCCACGGGTCAGATCGGCAGACGTAAGCTCTTGTTAGGAAAGCAGCTAGTCATCCAAGTAGGGGCATACCAAGCAGCTGAGATGGTGCACTTGTGCTGCCACCACAGCAAAGGCCTTCCTGAAGACAGCTGAGCTGTGGTGATACTGAAAGGGAGACTCTGACTAGGCAATGGTGCTGCCCCACCTGGAAATGGAGACCGTTCCAATGGGCTGGGTGAATGCTGATGTGGAAATAAGCAGGGCTCGACAAACCGCTGAATCTACTTGCCTGTGGCGAGTAGATTTCAGCCGGTCGCTCCGTGAGCCCCATTCACCGGTGCTTTGCGCATGTGCAGTGCCGATCTGGTGCATGCGCGGTGCAGGGCTGACGAGTAGCTCTCGCCGAGTTTGTCAAGCCCTAGAAATAAGCATGCTTCACGTTGAGAGCCACAAGCCCAACCAGCAGTGGAAGCGAGGGGATAATAGATGCGAGTGTCACCACATGGAAAAACCTTGCTGTAATTGTTGCTCTTCAAGACGTGTTGCTCATGTTCATCCCACATTAAGTGTGTGCACCTGCTGCAGGAATCATCACTGGAATTTTTTGCCTTTGTGGTATTAGTCAGGCTGGCACTAGCACTCTATGTTGTCACACGCTCATTGCTGGTATAAATGGGGCAAGCAGCCCTGCACCTTCTCAGTTCCTTCTTGCCAGCTTATTACATCAGGGGGCAGGAGAGTGGATCATGGAATGGACATGAAAGACACCTCTCAAAGAACAGCTATGGAAAATAACCCTTTTCCTTTGAGTGATTGCTCATAGCCATTCCATGGCAGGTGACTCACGAGCAGGACCCAAGGAGGTGAGCTTGGAGTTCATGGACATGAGGACTGCAACACTGCTCTTCTGAACTCATGGTCTCTAGCCTGCTCAGTGATGGCAGAGTGGGCAGAGAAGGAATGCACTGACGGCCAGGTTGCAGCTCTGCAGATGTCTTGGATTGCTTCCTGGGCCAGAAACACTGCTGACAATGCCTGTGATCTCACTGAATGAGCAGTCAAGATGGCAGGAGACGGAGCGCCCACCTGCTTGTAGTATATTGAACACAGGTGGGGATCCAGAATGAGTAGACCTTTCATCTTCTCTGTTAGTGACACAAAGAGCTGCATAGGGAAAGTCAACATGGTTTCTGCAAAGGGATATCATGCCTCACTAATCGACTAGGATTCTCTGAGGGGGTCAACAAGCATGTGGACAAGGGGGATCCAGTGGATCTAGTGTACTTAGATTTCCAGAAAGCCTTTGACAAGATCCCTCACCAAAGGCTTTTTACTAAAGTAATCTGTTATGGGATAAGAGGGAAGGTCCTCTCATGGAAAGATAACTGGTTAAAAGACAGGAAAAACGGGTAAGAATAAATGGTCGATTTTCAGAATGGATAGAGGTAAACAGTGGTGTCCTGCAGGGTTCTGTATTAGGACCAATCCTATTCAACATACTCAAATGGTCTGGAGAAAAGGGTACACAGCGAGACAGCAAAATTTGCAGATAATACTAAACTGCTCAGGATAGTTAAGACCAAAGCAGACTATGAAGAGCTTCAAAAGGATCTCACAAAACTAGGCGACTGGACAACAAAATGGCAAGTGAATTTTAATGGTAATAAATGCAAAATAATGTCCATTGAAAAACATAATCCCGACTATATGTACTAAATGATGGGGACTAAATTAGCTGCTACCACTCAAGAGAGATCTTGAGTCGTTGTGGATAGTTCTTTGAAAACATCCACCCAATGTGCAGCAGCAGTCAAAAAAACCCCAAACAAACAGAATGTCAGGAATCATTAAAAAGGGATAGAAAATAAGACAGAGAATATCTTATTGTGTCTATATAAATCTATGGTACACCCACATCTTAAAAGCCGGTTCCTCCTGAGCACTGGCTCCCTCCTGCCTCCCACCCTCATACTGCTGCCTCTGTGGGAAGCAGGGGTGGGGGGAGGAGGAGGAGAAGTGGCTCCATGGAGCCAGCATGCACAGAGAGCCAGCTTGAAAGCCTGCTCCCCCCTTTTGCTGCCTCTGATACAGAAGCAACAAGGGGAGGAGGGAAGTGTGCACAATGGAACTGTGGGTAGTGGAACTGATAAGCCCAGACTTATTGGTTAATCGTGTAATTGATTACACGTTGACATCCCTAGTACTCACTGCTCACAGAGAATGAACACAGGCAAGAAACGGTTTTTAAACCTGGGAACAAAGGGCAGACTGGTGGGAAGGGGAAGGAAGGAACAACAAACAAGAACCATACACCAGTGAAACAGGTCACATTTAGCTAAAAGACTAAGAACACAAAGTAACAGCAGCAGGAAGATGGAACTGGAGGCATCAACCCACATGGCCTATAAAAACATCGGCTGGAAGCACAGGAGGATGCACGGCATATAAACCCGTATCCAGAACACATAAAGGGACCATCACTTGAAAAAGAAAAATGTTAAAATACAATACAAATGAAAACCAGTTAAAAATGGTTACTAATTTCCACTTTCACCTTTCTCTGCTTCCTTTATTGAACTGGTCGCTCATAGAATGTGCAGTCGGGAGGTTACAGAATCTCCATCATTGGAGATATTTATGAGCAGGTTAGACAGACACCTGTCAGAGGTGATCTGATGTCACTTGGTCCAGTTGTGAAGGAAGGGGACTGGACTTGATACCCTCTCGACCTTCCAGTTCTAGTGTTCTGTGATTCTATGCTGTGGTAACAGACATCAGTTCCTCACTGGTGCAATGAAAGCATTTTCTCTCGAGTAAACTGTTTTATAACCCATTAAGAATGTGATATCCAATCAATGCAATGAAAGCCAAGCTTAATTTTATCTCCATGTCTACAGATTCATGACTTTTTAAACCTGCTTATTGTTTGTGAGTTCTATTACAATGTTTGGTGGAAAAAATTCCACCATAAATTGCAGAAATATTTAACTCTGTACACCAGCTCACTGCATCTACTGCTGTTTCCATTAGTCAGCCCAGACCTTCCCTGAACACAGAGAACCTGACACTTTTAATCTCTTTGGTAGGATGGACTCAACTGCAGTAGACTGGCCAATGAAAGTGTTAGACAATGATAGAATTTATGGGGAAGACTTACATATTTTCTCCTTGCTTCCTGGAGAGCATCAGATTCTTCTAGCTTTTTAGCTTCATCCCGGAATTTTTTAATACTTTCTTTCATCTCTTTATTTTTTGCTAATTCCTGTTTGATGTTGTCCACAAACCCTGATATAAAGCCTTTTCTGCCTCCAGAAGAATAATATCTAGACTAAAAAGAAAATAAATTACTAGTCTCTGTACAATCGAAAGAGACATTAAGTATCATAACCAGGTGGAGCTATATTCATGCCTGCCATGCAAAAGGCATCTTAAGGATGTCCAAAATACCTTAGCAAAGGAGCCTTCTGCCTTCAGAATAGCAATCAGAATTCATACACAACACTACAAAGTGCAAAAGAAATGTACAGCAAAGGGGGAAAAAAAACAGCCCTAAAAGCAAAACAGCCACACTGCTCTAATTTAGAGATGTAAAATCCCATTTAATTGGCTAACCAGTTAAGTGTAGTGTTTAACCGATTAATTGATTAAAGGGAAGGCGGGCGGAGGGCCGTTCCAGCCTCTTCTGGCCCCCCATGGGCTGACAGAGATGGCCATGGGCAGGGAGCTGATCTCAGGTACCGGGTAACCAGTTACCCATTCACATCCCTACTTTGACTATGCTGACAGCTTTTAATAAGTTATCAATTTTAATAACCAGCCAATTTCTGCTGTTGAGGATTTCTGCTTTTGGTGACTGCACAAACTGCTGGATTTTCTCATCTGGACTCACTGCTGGCAATCACCCATATGGAGGGAAAAACAAAAAATTGTTACATCTTTGAAAGCCACTTGGAAGTCTATATCCTAGAGTGGCTACTTGTCAGAAGCATATCAATTCTTAGGAGACAGTACTCGGAGCATGACTGAAACACACTTTCAGTTTAATGCACGCATAAAGCCCTGCCCATTAACATACCTGATGTAGCTCTAAAACAGGCCTGCCCATTCTATACACAATGCCACCAGGGAGTACTGGAGCCGGGTATCTTCCAGATATAAGCCTCGTGCCACTTACAAGGCATTTCTGCAAATGGAAACAAAATTTTGTTACCACCGAATAAAGAAATAATTAAACCTGCAGGAGCCACACTCAGTGCTCAGAGAGCCAGTGGAATAAGGCAAGTAAAGAACTTTACTGGCTAAGCTTTGGGGAGCAGAAGCAAGGAGTTACACTGGAAATGCTCGTTCACCAGAGTTTGGCTCCACAGAACAAACCAACAGTACATCACAACACTTTTACGAATTAACAAAGCATTGCTGCATCCCTTACACTCACTAGTACAGGAAGGTCACACTGCATGCTACATCCCAAAACAGGTGGGCCCATTTGTCCTTATTTTGGGGAGGTGGACCTGATATTGCTCTTACCCAGGGCCATCTCCTTTCCAGAGTAGCTAGATACAATTTGCAGTTCAAAGCTCATGGTGCAATTCAATGTGCCAACTGCAATCTTCAGAGTGAATATCCAAAAGGCATAAACGGGGAAGATCACACCTGAGAATAACTGTTTCTACTTGCAAATGCAGTTACATTTGGAACAAAATACAGGACTACGTAGCACTTGAAAGACTAACAAGATGGTTTATTAGATGACGCGCTTTCGTGGGCCAGACCCACTTCCTCAGATCAAATAGTGGAAGAAAATAGTCACAACCATATATACCAAAGGATACAATTTAAAAAAAAGAACACATATGAAAAAAACAAATCAAATTTCAGAACAGAAGGGGGATGCGGGGGGAGAGGGGGGAAGGTAAATGTCTGTGAGCTAATGGTATTAGAGGTGATAATTGGGGAAGTCATCTTTGTAATGGGTAAGATAACTGGGGTCTTTGTTGAGACCCATGCGTAAGAGTGTCGAATTTTAGCATGAATGACAGTTCAGAGGATTCCCTTTCAAGAGCAGATTTAAAAGGCTTCAACATTACATTTGGAGTATTTCTTTGCAATTCAAAGGGCTGAAAATAATTTTTTAAAGAAAAACTGTCTTGGCTGAAATGCAGTGGGACATCTCATCACGGCTTGCAGCTTCAATCCTACACCCCCTACTCCTGAGTGCCACTGTGCCACCACAGAATAACTGATTCTCACAGGGAGGTGAAAGGAAACCACCAAAGGGGTCACATTGCAATTACACCTTTTGCCCATCAAGGGCTGATGTGGCACCAGAAGTGACAGCAGCCAGCTAATGGGCCAGAGCAGCCAACTGTAGAGAAGGAGGGGGCAAAAGGTGCCTTCCTCACAGCAGCCTGTTTACAGGGCCATGGGGGACGGACCAAGTGTGTTGACTAGTCCTAATCTAGCTCATCCCTCACAGATGTGACATCTCCATCACTGGAGCAGTTTGGATACACAACTTCCTTGGGCAATTTATTCCAATGTGTAACCAACCTGACAGTTGGGAAGTTTTTCCTGATGTCCAAACTAAACCTCCCTTGCTGCAATTTAAGTCCACTGCTTCTTGTCCTATCACTAGAGTCCAAGGAGAACAATTTCCTCCCCTCCTCCTTGTAACACCCTTTTAGATAGTCGAAGGGTTGATACTGGACATACTGTATACCTTGTTTATATTTTCATTGTCCTAAGAGAAACTTCCAAAAGGAGCCTCCTTCCAAATACCACTAGCTGAAGGCAAGATTTATTCCTGAGGAAGGGTGACTCCATAACTTCCCAAAAATATCTGATATAGACCCTTGTAACTGGGTGACTGACAATTAGTTTCCATATTTACAATGAGACATCATTTCCCCCTGCTATTTACCTTTTTCTATACCAGTTCAAGACGACAGTTACAGCTATTAGTTTCGTGATACAGAAACTAATAATAAATTTAAACCTAATAAAATGAAATATTTTCCCATGCCCTCTGCCTAACTCACTGCCACACGATATCACTGAAAAAACTCACCAGGGTTTTAAAAGGGTTTATACAGATAATGAAAACATTCACAGTTACATGAAATAGGAGATATAAAACTTCATTCTTCAGGGAACAAACCACTCACTAAATGCTTGAAGAAAAAACACAACTCTCTCTGGATGGGTACCTATCCTGCAGCTGTTTGAACTTTCCTGTGATGCAGATAGTACTGGAATCTGTCTAAGACTTGCTCAACACTAGAAAATTAAGTCCTATGATATATGTTGCAGGGGTGTAAATAATCCATATCCCTGAGCAGAGTAGTTAAGACAACCTAATCAATGTAGACAGCAGGGATGTGAACAGTAACCAGTTAACCAATAGCGACGAGGAGTCCTGTGGCACCTTATAGACTAACTGAAGATGATAAGGTGCCACAGGACTCCTCGTCGCTTTTGCAGATTCAGACTAACACGGCTACCCCTCTGATACAGTTAACCAATAATCACCACCCTTACCAGGTGATGCTCATCTGGTACCCAGGAGCAGCCTGCAGGGGCAGCTGCTCATGTACCGAGAGGCCAGGAGCAGCAGCCCTGCACCCAGAGGAGCTTAACCAATTCGCTGATTAACCCGGATTGTACATCTGTAGTAGACAGCACTAGGCTGACAGAAGCATTCTTCACTAGACCTCGTTACTGCCCCTGAAGGAGGTGGATGACTTAAACCAACAGAAAACCCCTCCAGCTGGCGAAGGGAGGGTATATCCAGAGATACAGCCGTGCCACGGGGGCATTTCAAGTGGAGACAAACCCGGAGACAGGCTGCCTACGGCACCAGATGATCCACAGGGGTCAACTGAAAAGCCCAAAAGCCCAACCACCCCGTAGTGCCTGAGGTCACCCAAGGCCACGAGTCTCCTCGATGCGATTTCAAGCTCTCCCGGGCAACGTGACCCAGACACTCGGCATCTGTGTCCGGCCGAGCAGGGGAGGCAGCGCCCGCAAATACCACT